ATAGATAATCCTAATCTTGCTGCAAGACTACAACTCTTGCCCTCAGCACTGTTCTTCTGTGTGAAAGCCAGCCGCGGAGAACATTATCTGTACGATCTCCAGGTTGGTGTTACTTCCCATGCATATGCACAGAATCTTATGGCTTAAAGCCTGGTCAGCAGACTGTCAAATGTACACTCTTCTTTGGATTATCCCTTGAGGAATACATTGAGGCAGCTACTAAGGAAAGGGGCTTCATATCCTACTAACCTCAATCTCACCTTCCCATTATATGGTCCTCCCCTGCCATGAAGATATGATGTTTGTCACCTCAGGGAGGCAACATCTACTGTGGATCCTTCCCCACATGGCATACTCCTCATGACTAAGCCCACTGGACCAGATCAGAAACCTTCTTTTCCTTAAGAGTTGCCCCTACTTCTAAAAAAAAAAAAAAAAAAAAAATGCGATGAGGTTATTTTCCCCATCTCTCCACACTTCAGTATAGTTTTTACACTGCTGAACTCACCACATCTTGCATTGCTATGTCATTATACCCCTACCTAGACCCTGAGTCTTCATGTAAAAATGTACCTTGGAAGCCTTTTCCTGAAAAAGCTTCAGAGCCAGTTCTTTGACCATAGGCCCAAACACATGTGTGGGTGACACTACACCCTTTTAGGGCTTCTCCCCAACCTTGTAATACTTATTATATCTTATACTACTTATTATATTAATATATGTCTAATCCAGTGGTCTCCAAACTGCTTCCCAGGGGCCGGATGCTGCCCTTTGCATACCTTTATCCAGCCCTTGGTGTGCTAGTCTTCCTACTAACACTAACAATGGGGGCATATTTCTTGCCACTGACACTAACAATGAGCACTATTCCTCCCACTGATACCAATGATCGCCACTATTTCTCCCACTGACACCAATGTTGGGGCAATATTTCTCCCACTGACACCAATGATGGGGCACGATTCCTCCCACTGATACCAATTATGGAGCACTATTAATTCCACGACACCAATTATGGGGCACTGTTCACCCCACTGACACCAATGATGGGGCATTAGTCCTACCACTCAGACCAACAATGGGGCACTATTCCTTCCACTAACTCCAACAATGGTGTACTATTCTTCACACTGACACCAATGATAGAGCACTATTCCTTCCATTGATACCAATGATGGGGCACTATTCCTTCCATTGATACCAATGATGGGGCACTATTCCTTCCATTGACACCAATGAAGGGGTATTAGTCCTCCCACTGACAACAAAGATGAGGCACGATTCCTCCCACAGACACCAACGATGAGGCGCGATTCCTTCCACTGACACCAACGATGAGGCATGATTCCTCTTACTGACACCAACGATGGGGCACTTTTCCTCCCACTGACACCAATGATGGGTCATTATTCCTCACACTAAAGATATGTCCTTCTAACACCAGGACATTTTCTAGTTACACTGGTCACAGTCAAGCCCCCCCCAAAGTCTGAAGGACAATAAACTGGCCCTTTGTTTAGAAAGTTTCTATCCATCTATATATCTGTCCCTAAAGGATGACACCATATTCACAAACATGTGTATCTCCATGTGAATTTCCCTCAATTCTGCTGCTGGACACTTCCGGGAAAGTCGGTGCTTGGTTTCCTCTCTCTAGGTCACTGGCACTATAATCCTCACTATGCTTGAAGGCTAGCTCCATTATGTGGACTCAATTTTCTACACAGGCCTCTCTTGCCTACAGCACTCAGACATGGCCCTGCATCTTGATATGTCCTCCTTCTCTGTATCAAGCTCAAAGATCATTGGGTCACCTACTGTAGTAGTTGAGCAGTCTTCAGATCTTGCATCCTTGAAAGAATTGGCCTTGACACTGGCCTAAGTCTATGCCAACCTAATGCTAGGAACGTCTGCATTGCCCCTGTCCTTAGTACCCCCTTTATGTGCTTGTCTGCCTGCACATGCCATCTGCAGATACCTCGGCATTTGCCTGCCCATCTCACTAGCCACATTCAATAATGTAACTGCTCTACAGACTCTATCTTAGAGATTTCCCAGCATCTCTATTCCCCTGATATTAGTTAGTTAGGCACATTCCAAATTTCCATCCTCTAGGTTGGTTGTCCTTCCTTCTTGAGGGCACATAAATCATCTCCCCTCCATACTCTGTAATCTATCCCATGAGGTAGTTCTCACATAATGTAATAAGGAAACCGTAGCCAATTACACAAGAAAATGATTTGTAACAGCCTATATATATACCATTTTATGTACAGCCAAATGCTAATGTTCTTTAAAAGTGTGTTTATTCTTTAAAACACTACCCCTTTTACCTCTTTGCAAAAAATCTTATTCAAAACTACACTGGACAATAAATAATGCAAGGGAGAATACATTGGTGATGTTGAGGCTTTACAGTTAGTATTTTTTGCAGACAATCTGACAAAAGTTCTCTTTGTAGCACTACACGTCAAGAGCCTTGGCCTGTTACACATTTTTTTTCTGCAGCTGTTGGCCAGTCTGTAGATGGTAGATAACTGAACAGTCTGTAAATTAACTAATGTCTAGTGACAGAGACTGGAGACACTGTAAGTAAGTACACTTGTTAAAATTTGTAAGAGCCTCCCTATGGCCTTATAATGTATGACCTTATGACTGGGTTGTAAATATATTAGAACTGTAAACTATGCATATTTACATGTTTTTCACACTGAAGGCTTAAAGCGTAACACCAGGTATGGATTTTATTGCACAGTTACAGTACATTATATATAACAGGGGTATTGAATTAAAATTCAAGGAGGTCCGGTCACTAAAATCTTCTTCTGGCTGATGTCCGAAAAAAAATGTCCCCATTAGTGTTCCCCCTTACATTAGGTTCCCCCTCCAGAGTCATTTATTACATTGGGTTCTACCATCAAATTTTCCCCATAAATCAGTTTCCACCATCAGAGTACCCCCCTATATCAGGCGTCCCCATCAGAGTGCTTCCTTAAGTAATGTGTTCTCATAAGAGTGCCCCCATACATAAGGTATTTCCATCAGAGTGCCCCTTACATTGGGCATTCCCATTAAAGTTTCCCCTTACATCAGGCATTCCCGCCATCAGAGTGCCCCCTTATATCAGGGATTCCCATCAGAGTGCCCCCTTCATCAGGTTTCTGCATTAGAAGGCCCCCTTACATTTGCTGTCTTCCATCAGTGTGCCCCCTTACATCAGTTGTCCCCATTAGAGTGCCCCATTTTATAAGGTTCCCCCATCACGGTGACACCTTACATAGGATGTGCCCACCAGCGTGCCCCCTTACATTAGGTGTCACCATCAGAGTGTAACTTTACATCATGTATTCCCATCACATCAGGTGTTTCCATCAGAGTGCTCCTTTACATCAGTTGTCCCCAACAGAGTGCCCCTTTACATCAGGTATCCCCATTACAGTGCCACCTTACATCAGGTATTCCCGACAGAGTTCCCCCTTACACTCAAAGTACCCCTTTCCATCTAATTTCCCCATCAGAGTGCCTCTTTACATCATATTCCCCATCAGAGTGCTTCTTTCCATCTCATGTGCCCATCAGAGTGCACCTTTCAGCAGTATGTGCCCGCTTAACATTACATGTGCCCATCAGAGTGCCCCCTTAACATAAAAGATGCCCATCAGAGTGTCCCTTAACATAAAATAAGCGACATGCTGATGGACACATTTTATGTTAAGGGACAGTCTGATGGGCACATTTATATTAAGGGGCACTCTAATGGGCACATTTTCTGTTACAGGGCACTCTGATGGGCACATTTATATTAAGGGGAACTCTGATGGGCACATTTCATGTTAAGGGGCACTCTGATGGGCAAATTGTATGCTAAGGGGCACTCTGATGGGCACATTCTCTGTTGTGCCCATCAGAGTGCCCCTTAACATTAAATGTGCCCATCAGTATTACCCTTTAACATTAAATGTGCCCATCAGAGTGCCCCTTAATATTAATGTCCCCATTAGAGTGCCCCTGAAAGAACACACCCTACCTTGAGGGCAGACAGAAGCGAAAGGCAGGAGCTTGCTGGGATCCTTGTTGAAGGGGGCAGAGTGCATGCTTGTGGACAGGCAGGGAGTGGGAGCCGGGAGACAGTGAGCTGAAAGGGGCAGGGTGCACACGTGATGTCATCGGTTGTCAGGATGACCGACCTGCTGAGCGGCAGATCTGTCATTCTAGTCTGGTGGGCTGGTGTTCTGGGCAGGAGCGCTGCCATTCTTGGACCTCGGTCTGCCATTTAGTAACTACTGATATAAGTATGCATATGCCATACCTGTGGGACCGCTGTGGAATTAGAGAATGACTGTAGTAGTCACCACTACTACAGTGATTGCTTCTGTCTTCTGAGTCTCCTGACAAATGGCTGCCTTCTGCATAGCAAAGACTGGGGTCCTTGCTTGGCACCATTCACAGAACACTGTGCATTTTTGGCATATGCATGCTTACAGTGGTACACGCAGCACCAATATAAGCATACAAAAAAATCCATACCTGGAGTTCAATCTTGATGTTTTTAATTTATACACACAAAAGGTATTAAAGGTGATTAAGTGGCTGTGTTTAGAAAAATAGATGTAATGTGTTTATCCTTTTGCATAATATTAAAAATTGAACATAAGGAAAATATTTAAATTTATTTTTTTTGCATTCTTCTTCTGTATCTCTAAACAAGTTTCTTCAGGCCATTACCATTAAACTGCCAACTTAAAAAAGCCAGGTGCCTGAAGGAATGCAGACTAAAACTACATGGATCTACATCCCTTCATAGCACAATCATGAACCAGCACAACTGTAAATCAGCCAATGACTTTGAAAATCAGGCTCATGTATATGAGTCTAGTCCCTTTTTTATACAGTGTATCCAGATCAGTATACTGTGGCTCAAAGTGTTTTTTGGAGGTTTTCATTGCCCTTTGAAAAGTAATCTTATGGTGAAATAATATTGAACCATATTTTAATTGCAGGAGAAGCCTGTTGGTGGACAATACATCCTGCATCCAAACAGAGATCTGAAGGAGAAAAGGTTCGAATTGGAGACGATCTGATTTTAGTCAGTGTTTCTTCTGAAAGATACCTAGTAAGTATTTGTCAATGCACAAAAAAGACTTTGCAAGTAATATAAATTTGTTACAGGTAGAGAATTATAACATGATAGGTAATAGAGCTACGCTATTTTGATGGTGATAGAGTTGTACCAAATGATTCTTGAAAGGGGATTTGTAAGGATCTCTCTGTAGTCTCATCACATAAAATGGAATTGACTTTTTGACTTCAATGCAGTCGCATTGTCACCTGTATAGCTTTACTAGTTCAGTGATTATTTTTTGCTTGTTTATTAAAAGTGCATTTAAAACATTTACTCTAGTAGCTTAACATTCATATCTGAAACTAGTTTTGGACTGGGTTAGCAAATATAATCATGCCCAGCAAAAAATGATTTTCAGTTCCTTTGAGTAGCCATTAGTGAGATTGGCATATGTCTACAAATATTTGAATTAGTAGCTTATTGTCCTTTCATCTAGGGACATAGCTGAGTCATCAGTTGGTAGACACATGTAGATGGTTAGGTTCTTTTAGTACTACCTTCACACTTCTTCTATATTTAATGATATTGTAACAGTACAGGACACATGCTGTATATTTATGGACCTTGGGGTATAGGCTGGTACCCTCAGGTGACTGAACAGTGGCAAGCCTTTGAGGACATGCTCACTCAGCATCCCCCTATGACCCTACCCTCTGTGGGTTCTCAGTTATTTGCCAGTGTCCTAAGGCCTCTTTTTCTTCACAGAGAAATCACTCTTAGCTTAATTAGTGTATTTTTTTTTCTTTGGATTCTTCAATCAGCTCTTTACCGTCTTCTAATTCAACAATATGAGCAGTGCATCCATATTGGTGCAACCTCTGTAGAACCTTGGAAGCCGTACTCAGGCCATACCCTGTGGGGACAGCCTGTGATGTTTCTTCTGACACTGGATCCTATTTGGGCACTCACCTCAGCACTTTGTGAAATTTGTGTAGTTAGCAGGGTGCTATTCAGGTCCAGGGCATGGTCCTTCTGTATGGAACCCAGGCCCTGAAGACATGTGAATCTTGAACTTTATATAGAGACAGGCAACATGGATAGGTAAGACAGGGTCATCCTGTTTATTGTACCATATCTGTAGCCCCACAATCCTGAATAGAATGTATTCATACCTTATAACTAGCAGGAAACTGGAATTGTGTTTAAAACATATTGATTTTGCAGTATAATTTTCTCAAACTTGACACTAATATTCAATCACTTAGATCACAATGGATTGAGGATCGGGCTCCGGTAAGTATGAGGGTGGGCGGGGGAGGGAGCTGCATACTGCTAGTTTTTACCTTCATGCAGAGAATGCATGAAGGTAAAAAAACTTTTAACCTTTAGAACCACTTTAAGCACACTAAAAGATCAGATTTTGCTCTACCTTGTCAAAACCTTTATTCAAGGTGTATCTTTGATCAGGCCCCCCTTAAAGCAACTTTTTCTTCCTGGGGACCTCAGTCTGGTTCTCTCTGCCAGGCAGAAACCACCCTTTAAATAATCAGGGAAATCCCCTTAGATAATCTCTCCCTTTGGCCTTTTTGGTTGCAATCACATCTGTCAGACATGTCTCAGAGCTAGCATTCCACTCTTATAGGGAGCTATCACTCATCCTGCAAAAGGACAAGGCCATTCTTTCTTCCTAGGATGGTATCGGTCTTTTCCCTCAGTTAAGTCATAGTCATTTCTTCTTTGTGTGCTGTTCCAAAGTACCCCCCTCCCTCCCCCAAAAAAAAAATGCTCTTCATGTCTTCAGAAGACAGACTTACTCACCAACCCTCAGGTCCTCGAAACGGGACATCTGGCTTCAAAGTCCACCATTGCTAGATAGATAAGACAACACATCACCAAAGCTTACGTGCCACAGGACAAAATTCATCCCGTGCTTTTATGCACTCAGTCCACCTTGTCGGTGGGTGTTTTCAGGACATTCAGATAAAAAGCCTCTGTTGCCCAGTTTTGTAAGGCTGACACCTGGTTCTCTGTTTATACCTTTTCAAAGTTCTACCAGCTGGATGTCCAGTTTTCTGTGGATTGACAAACTGTCATGGTCTAGGTCAGGTTCAGAGACCAGTTGCTACAGCAGTGTAAGGCTTACCTGAAACCAGCAGGGTTGGTACACCAGCGGATCACCCTGGGAATGACGCAGGCTCACCTGAGGTGTGGGGTCTAAGTATTAACCGGTTTTCTCCAGAGCTCCTAATGGTGGAGATGGATTTGGCTGCGTGCTAATACCAGGTCGCAGATCTCAGGATCACCCCACCAGGGAATGAGCAAGCTGGAAACCAAAAGCGGATCAAACAGATTAAGGATCAAACAGAAGCGGAGTCAGTCACAAGCCAAGGGTCAGTCACAAATGGTAGTAGATAGGATGAGGCAGAATCGTAGTCAGTAGCAAGCTAAAGGTCGGTAACGAAGATGTAGACAGCAGCAGGAACAGTAAGTGGGATATTGGCTGGGAAGGCACAATAATCTGGCAAGGAGGAAGTGTTTGGACATGGCTTTTATAGGAAGGAGGAGCAAGGAGTTCAAGGTTCAAGACAAACAGGGCCAAGGCAGGATCATCCAAAGAATAGTCAAGGGAGCTATCCAGCTTTCCAGGTGGCTCAGTGAGAAGAAACATTGCCTCTCACCGCAGAAGGCCCAGGTTCAATCCCAGGCTCTGACACAAACTTCTTGGGCACTGGTAACCAAAAATGAGGTTTTGTAGCTTGTGAAGGCTATAACCACAGCTGCTCAATAAACCATAGGAGATATATGTGAATAGAACAGTAGCTGATACTGAGTGCTATTGGTATAGAGCCAAATTATTAGTGACCAGTAAAGTATTAAAAATTAGCAAGGATAATGACAGTGTTATCCAGAGTAAAAAAGAAGGATTTTATTATCCACTTCAAAGGAATTAAAATCATTGTTCATAGTCATATGTCCAATGTAAACAAAGGAAAAAGTGGGTGGTGTAGCCCAAATGTGGTCAATGAAATTGGCTTACTGCTGAAGAAATAGGTACATTCGGAGCAGGGTGCAGGAGGCAGTGGAGAGGAATCCTGTGGACTGCTCTGCTGCAAGATAGGTTGCCAACTGTGAGAAGGTACCACTCACAGGACAGGATGCTGCCTCGGATGTCCTTGGAACTCGCGCACTGGAAATGACTTCAGCACGTGCCGGAAGTGACATCAGTGAAGCACAGAAACTGGTACATGGATGGACAGAGAAGCCAGAGTGCCTGGGGCGGACCATAACAGGACTTGGTTGCTATGACTATGCGTTTCACACAGATACATGCTTTGTCACAGTCATTAACCATTTGCCGCCCGCCCTATGGCCGAATTTTAATTTTTTATATTGAATATGTTTTATAACAGAAAGTAAAAACTTTTTTTTTCAAAATGTCAGTCTTTTTTGTTTATATAATAGAAAATAAGAAATCCAGTGGTAATCAAATACCACCAAAATAACGTTATATTTGTGACAAAAATGTTATAAGTTTAATTTGGGTACAGAGTTGCATGACCAAGCAATTAGCAGTTAAAAATCACAGTGTTAAATAGCAAAAAATGTCCTGGTCACAAAGGGGGTAAAATCTTCCGAAGCTTAAAGTAATAGTAAACCCACAACAGTAAAATCAGTCTGTATATGCAGTATTCCTCACTGTGGAACCTAAGGGTTAATCCTCTGCATTGTGTAAAAATGCTGTTTGATTCTATCTTCTCTGATCCTCCCCTTCTTCCAGTGTCCCCCTCTTAGCTCCTGATAAGAAATATTGTGTGGAGACACTCTGCACCTGCTCAATTTGGTGTGTATTGCTAGAGAGGGATTTTTTTTTCTTGGGAGAGTGCATGTGATCAGCACAGAGCCAATCGGCACTGCCCAGACAGAGATCAGGGGTTCTGTACCCTCCTAGGGAATACTCCTCTTACAAGCTTTAACCAGTGCTCTGCTGAACACTGATAGAAGTCACAAGACTGGTCTAACTGCTGATGAGAAAAGGTATCTAGCAGTTTGTTTACTAAAATAAATGCATTTCCATGTGATGTGTACTGTGGGAGACCAGATATAGTGAATGCAGGGTCCTGGGTTTAATAACACTTTAAGTGGCCAAACAACAAATGTTGCTTTATTCACTGAGATTAGAGACAACACAAAGTGTTATTTACCTTAGCTTAAGTGCTGGTTCACACTGATGCGGTGCAGAATTTTCCAGGTTTCTGTGCGATTCCCAAACCGCATCAAAATTGCACCCTGTTCATGCGAACCGCTGCAGGTTTATGACAGCCCGAAATCGGTTTGCAAAACGCGGTGCGATTTGTAGGATCAGATTGTATGGGTGTGAACACCCATGTGAACTGAGATCCGATTCTGGTGTGGACAAAAAAAGGGTCCTGCATGATTATGGTGAGAATGTGGTACAATTTGAGCCATACAAAATGCATGGCTCAAATTGCACCGCACAGAAATCACGTGTAATTTGCACAGGAATGCTGTGTGTTTCCTGTGTGAATCACATGCGATGTGCAATGTAAACCTGCACTTGAAGTGTGCTGAGGATGAGCTGAGCAGCTAAAAAGATGCTCTGTTCTTCTAAGGCTGGTAGTATTCTTGGTTATTTGAATAAGTCGTTTGTTGTAAGGGAACTTTGTCAAAACTAAAAGATTAGTTCTTGGTGTCAGTAATTGATAAAAGGGGGTCCTGTTTCTGAGTGCACAAGATGCCAACCAAATTGTTCTACTGCACAAAAGACAAGACAAGTTTATTTTTTTTATGTCTCTTGCAGAATCAGTGCAATGTTGTGTTCAATCCTTCTTTAGAACTGTGTTTACAGCACATACAACTGTGTAAAGAATTCTTAATTTTATCCCATAGCATCTCTCCATATCCAATGGAATGGGAAATATTCAGGTGGATGCTTCCTTTATGCAAACACTGTGGAATGTCCATCCTACGTGCTCCGGGAGCAGTGTGGAGGAAGGTCTGTCTTACGCCAGTTAAGTTGATGTTGACTTTCACCTAATTGCGCTACATTTTTCCATAATGATTCACTTTATACTGAGTGCTTTGTATGTGGTCACTGCTATACACAGGATTCTGTTGATACACACAGTAAAAAAAACAATACATATTAAAGTATTTGTTAACATTCTTACCCCAGCAATGGCAGTTTACAACTTTCCATGCTGCTGAATCATACTTTCTCAATGATGCTTCCCTGAACTTCCGGTCTTAACAGCAAAGAGCTAACAGTGAACAGTGCAATCTCCAGTGAGTCTGTTATTTTGGAGTAAAGAGGGAGGGGAGCAGGGCAGTACTGTGCCTGTGTGTTTTTATTGATGGATACAGTGTAGGCAGACACAACTTTAGTCTCTGCATGCAAGGTGGCACTGTAGGATACTGCAAGAGAAAGAGCCATTCTGAACCAGGAAACCAGGGACAGAAGCCATGGCACCAGCTTAAAGCTGAATTCTGGGAAATCAGCCACTTTGATAAATGTGCAGGCATACTATGAGTTAAGTACAACAAGACGCATGCCATGTGGACCTATCTCTTTAATTTACATCTAACAGTTTTATAGAGCTCCAGAATGATAGCTCTCGCTAGTGTTCTGGAGCTCTAACTCTAGACCTTCTTGTCTCAGCTAGTCTCAGCTCCTTCAGAAGCTGCATCCTTTGAATCGGCAGCAGAAGGGAGGGGCGGGCAGAGATGCTGTGTTTGCCAACACAGCCTCTCTCCTCCAAGAGCCCTAGAGTGTAGCGATTGGAAGGTGGCATGCACCTCATTGGACTTAACTCTCAGCATGCCTACGCATATATAAGTGGCTGAGTTCCTGTAATTCATCTTTAAACTGAAACAGAAGCAAGGATTAAAAGATGAAGAAGCTGCATACTTGGTAATGGATTAAATTGGCTGCTGAAAGTGCATACAAATCTTAGGGTCTAATATCACTTTAATATTCCTATTTTTGTAATGTTTACCGGCTTGGTTTTGGTGCCCTTGAGATACAACTCAAATTTGAATTTCCTGCTCTTTGGTTGTGAGGCAGAACTTGTATTTCTCAAGTACAGTTAAATGGCCTGAAGCAGCAGATCTACCATTAGCATTGACAGCAGCAGCAAAGCCTCCTGGTTTTATCTTTATCATGTTGAGCTCAATGCCCTAAGGATCTAAATATGATGCACATTGATAAGTGTCATCTCTATGTAATCTTTTGTTACTTAAATTAAATAAATTGTGTTTAAGAAATGTCACAGTCATGTTTATAGCCAGTTGATTTGACAAACCATCCTGTGTACATTTTGTCTGTTATAAATTATCTTGATTTTTTTACTTTGTTGAAAATATAGCTTCTTGTGATAGAAGCATATTGAATCTTCTCTGTGACTAATTGCTAGCAAATGCAAGGGAAATGCAGGGCATCTTTTATTGTGTACCTTTTAATTATACACTCCGAAGACATTTAAGACATTTAAAACAACATTTTAAATTGGATTACAGATAACCTGAGTAACACTTCTACAGTGCTCATAGTATGTTTACAAGCATTTAACACTTATATAAGCTACCTTTGATTATATGATATACTTAAAAGAAACCTCCACCCAAAGTGTATATTTCATCTTTGTGTGGTTTCTGAAAAGTTCAGTCATAAGCTGGCTTCTAATAACTCTTAGGAAATCCAGGGGAAAGCTATTTTAGACTCCTGGGACATTACAAAACCAAATGATGGTGTCACAGTGCCCAGTGGATTTCCTATATTGCTGAACAAGTAAATAACTGAGGGGATTCCAACTGTGAAATCCTAATTTTGCTTCTGTGAAAAGTGTTGGGACTAAACTACTTCTTGGGAATTCAACCTCTGGATTTTGCACACTTATAACGTCTGAAAGCTTTTTCTTGATGACATCTTCAAAAGACTGTTTCAAAAACTTGATACTATCAATACATATAACATTGTGGGTTACTTAGTAACTACTGCATAATTTCATAAAGGACTTAATTCCATCATCATCTGGGTTACTACTGTCCCGTTAATTGTTTTAGACCCTGGATGATTTAAAGAAAAGATCTAAAGCAATGGTCTAAATAATATTTACTTAGGAAAGAAGAACATGTTATACTGAAAGGATTATTTTGTTGTACTTTTTTTCTAGTCTCCTCCCTATCATTTGTTGATGATTGATTGAAGTTTTAATGAAACTTACATGGGTTGAGATATATCAGCTTATTAACATATTTCAAAATTATTGTTGATTGAACATATTTAAAGGACAAGTTCACCTTTTAACAAAAGATAATAAATGCACATTTTTTTTGCGGGTAAAAAAATGTACAGTTACTATTTTTGGTTTTAGGAGCCTTGAAAGCATTGCATCAGCCATCAGCAGATTGCTGGTGCCATGCAGGTCTCCTGTAGACTGCTAGTGTATTCTGTCTGCTTGTACCTCATATGAGCAGGCAGTTTTACACTTCCAGGAAGAATCAATGAATTACCACAGTGCTCAACAACAGTGCCATTGTTGTTCATTGAGAACTACAAGCTGTCAGCCACAAAGGCTGTCAGGACCTGTAGTTTCCCATTCACAAAACTCTGTGAATGAATGACATGACCAAGCAGGTGGAGCCCTGCATGGCAGCATTTTTAAATAAAATTGTGATAGCTAGCAGTGGGAGAAGATTCCCTGCTAGCTGTAACAATGGGGGATTATATGTGTTACACCCTGAATATGGGTGTAAAATATTACAAAAGGTGAACTTATCCTTTAAAAATTGTTGTTGACTGTTTCATACACCTTATTATGCCTTACATGTGTTTATATTTCAGGGTATCTTCTTGGTGGACATGTTGTCAGGTTTTTCCATGGTCATGATGAATGTTTGACGATCCCATCTACTGACCCAGCAGAGGCCCAGCATAGGTATGGGGACATATGCTTACAAAATGTACAAACTATTTTTGCTCCTCAAAAGTGTTTTGCTCAGTAATATCCTATTTAGGAGGGTTTCTTTCAGAAATGGACATTCCCTGTTCTTGGCCCAGCCCTTTCTTGCCCTAAAAACACATTTGACGTTTCTGATGAAGATAATTCTGTTTTCAAGAGGTTGAGAGCCCACTTTAAGGCCTTGGTCTCCCTAGCAGGTCTTACAATCTGTTATCTGCCAGACCCTTGCTTTCTGGATTAAACACATAGCCTAAGACCCTGGTTCTATGTTAATGGATCCCTCTGTGCATGACCACCTTTACCCTTTCCTGTTGGCCTTATACTATGAAGTTGACGACTTTGCAAATACACTTTGCTAGATATCTAGAATGAGCCTCCTTTATATTGATATTCAAAGGATCCTCTAGCTCAAATGCTGGTCAGAAGAACTTTCATGCAAGAAGATACCTTTGAGGGAAAGTGCCTATTTGGTACTTTGCCAGACAAGTACATTAAAGTGGTTGTAAAGGGCTCAAGGTTTTTTACCTTCATGCATTCTATGCATGAAGGTAAAAAACCTTCTCTGTGCAGCAGTACTCACCTAAGCCCCCTCTCGATCCAGCGACGTGCGCTGGAGTCTCGGCTATCCTGAGACTCCCTCTCCTCATTGGCTGAGACAGAAGCTGGAGCCATTGACTCCTGCTGCTGTCACTCACAGCCAGTGAGCCAGTGAGAGGAGAGAGGGGGCGGGATGAGCCACGGCTCCGTGTGTGAATGGACACAGGGAGCAGTGGGTGCCCCCCATAGCAAGCTTCTTGCTGGGGGGGCACCCAACAGGAGGGAGAGGCCAGGAGAGCCTGCAGAGGACCCAAGGAGGATCAGGGCTGCTCTGTGCAAAAACAATGCACACAGCAGGCAAGTATAACATGCTTGTTATTTTTAGAAAAAAAATGTAAGCCTTTAGTATTACTTTAAGGAAATCACCGGGGTAAAGTACTCTACTCCCCCAGAAAAAAAAAAGTCTTTCAACAGGTAGGGCTTTTGCTTCTGAAACTAGTAAAAGATCCTTTCGTCCCTCTCAGGCTTTGAGCTGATAGTCAAAATCTGTAGCATGCTTCTGTTGGAAGATGTGGACTTCCAAAACAGCCAAATCCAGGTCCATGCTCTCTAATCAATGATAATGGCATGTCTGTTGGCCTTCATGGCTATCTGGTCACAGGAAATCTCAGATGTTTTGGTCTAGAATTTAATTTCCAAGGGCTACGTGCTCTCATACTTTACATTTTCCTTTCCAAAATGTGTGGATCCCCAAACTGATCTTTAGCAGCTTCTCTCACAGGGGTTGTTGTCAGGGTTGCTGGTAAGGGGGTACCACCGTTCCTCTAGCACTGGGCCCTGGCCCTATCAGTTCATCAGGGGACCTGGGTAGCCAACAAGTGGCTCTCTCACTCTGCCTTTCTGCTACATTTTCAGCCGATCCACAGCCTCCTGTCATTCTTTCGCAGCACGGCTCAGTGCTCTGTTGTTAGCTCTGCTTACCCCATTCCCTTCTATTTATCTTGGTAAGTTTGTTTCTCATCCCCCTTCCTTCCAGATTCTTACCCTACTCACTCTCCCTGTCATACATCACTCCTCATCCCTGCAATCATGCTCCAGTTTTTCTTTCTTCTGAGTCCCATTGATTGTGCCCAGGTTAGTCTCCCTGCAGTCTCAGTCCTTCACTCTTGTACCTCCTGTATTCCTCCCTTCTGATCTAACCTGTCTCACAGTCGATTCTGTTCTTCCAACTGCCCAGTCTGTATATTCTTTTCTGCTCCCACCTCCTCTGACACAGTCACAGCCATAGGTGTCTTTTATCTTATCTGGCAAGGCACAATGTTTATGTAGCTTGGCTTCCCACTCCTGTCTCCTAGTCTGGTTCCCCCTCAGTTCACTGCTACAAATCTCTCATTCCCCTATCCAGTGCAACTTTACACTGTCATCACCCATTACAGACTCGGTTTGTGAATAAACAGACAGCCTCTGTACAGAGCACTTCCAGCTCATTCATCTGCCCAGCAGGGTTGTTAAAAAAATGTTTAAAAGTAGTAGTTATAAAAAAAAAAAGGGGTCTCATTCACACACACTCTGGCCATGTGAATGAGTGATTTATTCATGTGGTTGGAGCCACCTGCTACTCTGTGGGGACACAGCAGCTGTTATGAACACAGCTGCAGGTTTTAATCTGACAGGTGTGCAGGTGTGGGTGAGTTTCCCCAAATGCCCACTATTCATGTTTGGGGCTGTACACCTGTACCCACACACCTTTAAATGTAGGACCTGCAGATGTGTTCATAACAGCTGCTGTGTCCTCACAGAGTAGCAGGTGCCTCTGTACTTCCATAGTGTAACACAGACTGCCTGCACACAGCTTCAGGTGGCTCCATCCCCATGAACAATCCATTTATTCACACTGTACAAGCCACGTGGCCCATGTGAATGAGCCCCAAGACTTAATTTACACAAAGAGCAATTACACAATTGCCTCAATGCAGTTTTATATTTTGGATTTATCAGACATTTTGTGTTTGTGTCAGCTAATAATGATTTTAGTGTATTTTTAGCAAAATATCACTGATATTTTTTGTGGGGGGGAGGGTGCCCTGTCTGGTAGGCTGTATGGGGCCCCGCAATTTCTATCAGCAGCCGTGTTGCCCCAGATCCTGACTAAGAAATGTTTTGACTCTTCCCAAGACAAATTGTGGCATGCAACCCATTTTTGATCTGAAAAGTCTTGACTTGTTTCTGTGAATCCAAATGTTCCACAGGAAATCTGCCAGGTTTGTCATTGCCTCTTTTGAACTGATGGCCTCCGTGGACATCAGGGATACTTACTTATACATACCAATCTTTCCTTTTCATCAACACTACCTGTGTTTTACCATGGGCACAGAACATGACTAATTTGTTGCCCTTCTCTTTGGCTCTCCAACAGAAACCCGGGTCTTCATCAAGGTTCTTGCCCTAGTCCTAGCTCTGCTCCACTTTCAGGGTATTCACATAGTGGGATACCTGCACGATCTCCTGTAAAGGACCAAACCATGCAAATCTTTTTCAGCCAATGTCAGACAGAGGGTGCAGACTTTGCAATGAGTCTGATGGATCCCCAACCCTTGGAAGTCATTGCTGGGACCATCTTACTGTTGAAGTATCTGGGCCTGATATTGGATACAGTCCTGTCCAGGATCTTTACAAAACAGGACAAACTTCTGTCTCTCCGTTCTAGTGCTCAGACCCTTTGGTTCCAGAGTCAGAACCCAAATTCCAACCTGCATGAGGGTCTTAGGACTGAATACAGCCATCTTTGAGGAAGTACTATATGCCCAGTTTCAATCCAGACCTATGTAAAGCAACATACTGCCTGAATGGAACAAACAGACTCACTCCTTAGACTGCCCAATGCATCTAACCTGTACGGTCAGATTCTCCCTAATGTGGTGTATTTCAAACCTGGTGCTGGAGTCAAGGAAACCTTTTTCCCCAAAGATGGGGAACATTCCTTCAATGGATGCAAGTCAATCAGGCTGGGGAGGAGTCCTGGATGACTTCTGTGCAGGAGGCTTCCACCTTTTAGGGCAATTGCACTGTATCTTCATCTCTGCTGGATCTCTCAGTTGCAAGATCACCCAGCCAGATTCTAGCTGACAATGCCAAGGCAGTGGCCTACATCAAGAGTCAGCAGAAGTTGAGCCGCTCATCAAGAATCTGACTTGATTCTCATTTGGGCGGAACTGCACATTCCTGCCCTATAAGCTTTTCAAATCCCAGGGTGGAAAATTGTCAGGTGTACTTTCTCATCATCATCAGGATTCTGAAAATGATTTCTCTATCCAGAGGTATTCAAAGCCCTTTGCCACAAGTGGTGAAAGGCAGATGTGGATCCTCTGGCATCCTGATTCAACAATATACTGGATAGTTGCCAGATCCAGGGACCTTTGGTCCTTCACACTGGATGACTCATCAGGATCACTTCAGCCTGATCTGTGCCTTTCTACCTCTACAGCTGCTTCCTTGTCTGCTGCACAGGATTGAGATGGAGAACATTCTGATGATCTTATGCAGCGAATTGACCCTATAGAATGTGGCACACGCAAACTTCTGGCAGACATTCCACATTCCCTTCTGGAACCTCTGTTCTAAGGACTGGTCCACCATCCTGCTTCGCAGTTGCTGGCTTTTGGGACTTTGGGAAACTCATTTGGGATTTCCCCATGTCTGGCCTCACTCAAAAGGTGTTTTTTTTCATTTCTATCACCTCTGCTAAGTTTGCCATCTTCCCTTGTAAAGGGCCTTCCCCAGTGTTACACATGGATAAGGTTGTAATGAGGCCTGAGGCCTTCTTTTTCCCTAGGGTGGAGTACACCTTCGACCTTAACCAGGGCATTGTTCTTCCCTCCCTATGGCCTATTCTGAAACATCCCAAGGAAATGATTCTCTGTTGTCTCAATGCAGTACATGCTGTGAGGGTCTACCTATTGGCTACAGTCTCTTTTCAGCAATCAGGTTCCCTTTTTGTCCTACCTGAAGATTCCTATAGTTGTTTGCTGCTTCTTGTTAGACCAGCGCTAGGTGGATAAGTAATAGAGCCTATTGTAAAAAATATAACATTCTACCCTTTCTTGTTAGGGTGCGCTCTACCAGATCTGATAGTGCTTCCTTGGATTTTCAGCATCAGGCATCTGTTTCTCAACTTTGTAGTTCTCTCACCTGATCTTCTGTTCACACATTTGTTAAAGTTAACCAGGTAGATGTTCAGGTCTCATTGGATACCTTTTTTGGGCATAAGGTGCATCAGGCTGCTTTCTTAGTTCTGTCGATCCTCGCCTTGGCCTGTTTGTTTGGTGGACCTGTTAACAGTTGTTTGCTGTATTTCCCACCCAGTAACTGGACTTCTTTTAGATAACCCATGGTTAAGATCAGGGGCGGATTGACAACTCATGGGGCCCCTGGGCAATAGGGGATCATGGGGCCCCTGTGTCCTTGCCCAAACTCAAAAAAAAGCCTATGAAAAAGGTACCAGGGGCATCTCATGGGGCCCCCTACTGACCCCGGGCCCTCGGGCAGTGCCCGAGTTTCCAAATGGTCAGCCCGCCCCTGGTTAAGACTAAATATTTGTTCTGTAATGTACGATTAACAAAATAGGATTTTAGACTTCTCTGCAAAAATCCCTTTCTTGTAGAACAGAACAGGACAGAGGTTCCTCTGTTCTGTTGTTTATAATCTCCCTTTAACTTGCTACAAAAATGAAGCTTGTTGGGGAGTGGGAGGGGTTATATAGGAAATGTCCCTGCAGCTTTTATTTTGCCAGTGTCATTTGACCTGATTGTAGCTGCAAATAGCCCATGGTTAAGACTAAAGATCCCATGTCCTGTATTGTACTGTACTCCAAGAAAAGGATTTTCTAGGTAAAAATCCTATTTTTTTACCACCTATAGTAAAAATGTACCACCATTGCTATTCATTCCACACTTTGGAAACCACAGATAAAGATAAATGTGTAATATATATTTTCTATTACCTCTATCCAATAACTCAGCTTTTTATGTTAATGGAATGTACATTTTGTTTCTCTGAACATTTCACTTTATTAGGAAAGTAAATTATGAAGCAGGTGGAGCAGGTGTTCGAGCCAGGTCATTATGGAGAGTGGAACCCCTCAGAATCAGGTAACCTTGACAAATATGTATAAACTATTTTTTTAAACCAGCAGTACAGTTTGATAAGTAAATGTCAATGCTTTCCTTTTATTAACTCAGTTGGAGTGGAAGTCACATCCGATGGGGGCAGACATTCCGCCTTCGCCATATTACAACTGGGCAATATTTGGCACTGACAGAGGACCAAGGACTAGTGCTACAAGACCGAGCAAAGTCAGATACTAAATCATCAGCTTTCTGCTTCAGAGCATCCAAAGTGAGTGCAATTCTTTACTAATCCACACTTGTTTTTTCATTATGTTGTAGAATAAAAAAGAGGTCCATTGTAATAAGAAAGATCTCTTGACATAAAGACATAGATGTTTAATTGCTAATGTTAAATTACTAATAGGATATGATTAACCCTTAAAGCAGCAGACAGAATGTTCTCTCCAGTTGTTGTCAAATCACTGTTGGATGCTGAATGGGCTGAATAGCTGAATACATTCCCATATGTTGAAAAACCCTTGAACTGAACATAGAAAAAAATAAACACAGAACAGGAGGGATGATATTTTAAAAAACCATTAGGAATTCACTTTAGTGTAAAATTAAATCTTGGCATCTCTTAAAGCAGTTACTGGGCAGAGTTCGTATTATGCAATTAAGTTATTTATGAATTTTAAAGTAGGTCGTCCAATTTTTACCACTACCATTGTAGTACCATTAACTGAGTATTTTAACTTACAGAATAGTGAGGAAGAATGGTAGTCTATGAAAGCGCATTTTAGACATTTTAGATTTAGACACAGATATTTAATGCCAGATAAGAATTTGCCTGTTGAACTTTCAGAGTTACATTAGAATCAAAATGTTATCCCAAAGAAGTAATGAGATCAAGTATTTCACTGCCTTTTTCATAGATCCTCACCATATGGTTCGCATGGTTAAATAGTATTGTGCTATTTAATTTCATTCCTTTCTAACTACCAGTAACCTTTATATCTCACATTTGTCTGTACACAGCAGATGCCTGACATTCACAAAAAAAATTGCAAAAAAGCAGCTTATAGAATTTAACTCCCTATAATTAACAAACTGCTATAACGGTCACCATCTTTGTGTTTGTTGGACTGTTTTAACACAATGACTTGATGGCAACCCATGAGTCACAGACCACTGATGTATGCAGTGTGAGTCTTGCTGGGGTTATAATTATCCAAATAGCACACAACATTGAAAAAAGGCTTTGCTTTATGTGGCAATGTCTCTATGTAGAGTTTTGAAGTTTGTGAACATAGAGATTAGTCAGGAATGGTGTGCATGCTGAATAACAAGGCAGCATTAGCGTAGTTTGTGTTGTCATAATTATTAACCCTTAAAAATTCTATTTCATTTCAATTAGTGCAACAGAACCCTTTTGTACATTCCCACTGACATTCTTCTTTTTGATGTAGGAAAAATTGGATTCTGGGCCTAAACGAGACATCGATGGAATGGGAGTAGCAGAAATAAAATACGGAGATTCCATTTGCTTTATCCAGCATGTAGACAGTGGCTTGTGGCTAACCTACAAAGCCCAAGATGCTAAAACAGCAAGACTAGGACCACTTAAAAGAAGAGTAAGAAAACAAGTTACAACTGAATACTCTAAAATGCAAATAAAAGGAAATAATGTGCAATACAATAAAGTAAATGAAAGAATGAGTCCCAGCCCATTTGGTTTTGGATGTACTGTATGTTAACATAAAAAATGACATCCACTGTTGGGGTTTGTACTCTCTTTTGAGTTATTCCATTCTTACCTAATATCCTCAGTTAACACTCTGCATACTGTATGTGCCCTTGCAAACTAATGTTTGTGTGGAAATAGGGGCTCTTAGTTAAAATGTGAAAGTCTACTGTAGCAATTGTGTCAAAATGATAGCAATTCCCCTACCCTTACTGTACATGTACATAACCTACTTAAATGGACTTACAAAAAACAACCACATACATATATGTATTTAAAACTAAAGGCAGCAGAAGTACAGTTTTATTAGGAGAAAACATTGATTATTAGACAAGGCTGTTTACCTTTTTTCAGTCACCATTCCCTAAGATTAGCCTAGGCTAGCAGCATATACACATACCCTGTGGATATTGGATTGTCATACCACTGATGTCTAACATTAAAAGGCCATCTTCTGTCCGAATAGTCACCTCAGGTCAGAAACACAGAGCACTGAAAGGAGCTTTGTTATGGTGACCATATTCTGTAAGTGATTATACAAAATAAGATATCATAATCGCACAGTAGACACACAGTCTATAGTCATAGACCATGGGTTATATGCTGCTGTCTTCATGTGATAGGTTAATTTCAAAAGCTTTACTGGGAATGGCCCACAATGCACCCTCATTTAACCTCACTTTTTTTTTTTTTTTTAATAGTGTTCTTAGGTGTAGGACCTCTTCTCCTCTGGAGAAACTGTCACACCAATCCTTTTCATTTTTCTTCACTACTTTGACTGACGCTTCTATCAGGATCCAACTGCTCATTGCCTCAGGACTCACTAGCAATTTCCAAATGCATTGCCCTCACCACACCACAATGTTTGCTTCGAACACTAGATCCTTGTTATGCGTTCACCTTGCATGTGGTGCAACAATTGTAGTTAGCCATAGGGTGCTATACATTTCAAGGGCCAAGGCCCTTTCCTATGGCACCCAGACCATGAAGACCCCTTCTTGGGTATGGCTCCTTCTGGGAACCCGCAGCCTAGACAAGGTAAGACAAGGTTTCCCTGTAATTGTGACCTGGTCCTGATTTACACGTGGGGTGTTATTTCACTTAGTGTTTTATCTCCTTCTGTAAATGTCTCTTTTTTATTGGTAGAAGGTAATGTTTACATTTTGAATCTGGTTTTTCACATTCAAAATTGCTGCTTGGACTTCTGCCCACCATTTCTGCTGAGATTGCAAGAAGCATGTCTACTCCTCGCTACCTGTTTCTCCAGAGACTCAGATACAGGACATTGGTTAGCACCTGGGTTATAGTGGATCTTTTCCCGGACATACAAATACCCACTCATTTCGCATCCATTTTATTAGTACCCTACAGAGAATCTCCTCACTTAGCAGCAGCAAAGACAATATGCAGAGGAGCTAAGAAAAAAGGGTCTAATAGGACTCTAGGCTAAAGACATAACTAAGGAAAATCAGCCAAACACTCAAGGCGTTAGCTGTTCCCCTGAATCGGAGCAAGGTCTCATACTACCACAGCTCCCTCCCTCCATTTAGCTCCCTCTCAGGTGGTCCCTAGTCCTGCCTCAAAACTAGCCACTGTGGCAATGTCCATTTTTGAGACTGTAGTTAACTGGACTGGACTAATGAATAGAGGCCATTATTCAATGTTGGAAGACCCTGTTCTCCTAGACCTAGAACAATTGAAGCACATGGCTACATCGCTGCTATTTTGTGTTGATGGCCTGCAGAATATAATTTGCCAGGTCTCTAGGGTGACATTGCTCTCTGTGGATGTGTAGAATTTTGTGGCTAAATGCTTGGTTTGCTGAGTCTGTTTATAAAATGCATCTGTTTATGCATGCCTTTCAGTGTTGAATGCCTGTTTGGTGAAGGGGTAACTAGAGGGAAAGTACTTCTACCCCACAAAAAACAAACAACCAAAAAACAAACCACTACTACTATGACTACTACCTCTTCTCCCCAAAAGGGATCCTTGCACTTCTCCCAGACATCCTTCTCTTAATCAAAAGCAAGTCCATCCATTTGTCGCACACTTTAGAACCAAAAATCTTTCAAGCCTACTCTGAAGCCCTCTCTACACCTGGCATTCATGCTGGTCTGTATAAGAGATGTCTTGAACCTCTGTGTCTAATCTGTTGTTTACAGGGGCTACACAATATAAATGATCTCCTTGCCTCACCCTCCTACCCTCTATTCTGCCAACTTAAACATAAAATATAGGTTGTCTTGTGGGCTGCTCTGAATCCACTTCAGGCACAAAGAATGGTAATCCCAGTTCTTGCAGAAGAAAAGGTTGAATTGTGTTACCAAAACCTATTCACAGTCCCAAAACCCAATGAAGGTGAGCACCCTATTTTGGGCTGCAACAGTTATCTATATGGCCCCAAATTTCTCATAGAGTCTTCAAGATTTGTCATAACTTTTCTCATATCATTTATGGCTTTAGTGGGCATGCAAGATAGCTATCTTCACATTTCCATCTTTCCCACATACAGACTGTTTCTGTGCTTTGCTGTGAGACCAACGCTTTCAATTTCTTGCCCTCCCTTTCTGCATCAAAAGCTCTTTTCTGCATAAAAATCTTCACAAAGATGCTTGCTCTGCTAAAAATTCAGGGCATCCATGTCACGGAATAGACAACCTACTGATGAAAGACTGCTTAATCTTGCTTTCCAACATTTAAAGCACAATCCAGCTCCCTCAAACTTTCAGATAGGTGATCAACTTTCTTATCACCTAGAACATCTGTGATTGACTGTAGAAATGGCCGAGGCCAAAATCTTCCCCCAGGAAAAGGTTTCTTCAGTGGGGTTCACCTGTCAAACTTTTTGGTCAACCAAGCAATCCTTGACTTGCTTCTGCATGAGGGTTCTTGGGCTCATTGTGGCCTCCTTTGAGGCAGTTCCCTTTACTCACTTTTACTCTAGACCTTTTCAGCTCATCATTCTCATTAGGTGGGACAAACAGTTCCGATCTCTGAATCACCAACTACTATCCACCCAAGCAAAAATGTAGCATGGTGAATTCCAACATAGCCCTAGAATCCAGGAAATCATTCCTTCCCTCTCCCTTGGAGGTGGCAAGGACAGATGTCAGCCAAAAGACTGACACTGGGCCCTTGTCCTACAAGGTCACCCAGTAAGAGTACATTTGGACAACGCCATGGCTGAGGCCTACATAAGAAGTAACCAGATGTCAGGCAGTCCTAAAGGTGGCAAGAATGATTGTCTCTTGGGTGGAGAATAATGTTTCAACTCTCTTGGCCATCTACATACCAGATATAGAAAACTGGCAGGCAGACTTCCTGAGTCACCAATGCCTGGACTCAGAGGAGTGGTATCTCTACATCATGATCTTTGTAATTCTCTGTCAGAAGTTGGGAACACCATATGTTGACATCATGGCCTTCAGATTCAACAAGAACCTGGACAGGTTTGTGACCAAATCCAGGTTTCCTCAAGCCCAGGGGTAGGCAACCTTAAAGAGGTGGAGATCTACCTGAAAAACATGGAAGAAGTCAAAGATCACCTGGCACAGTGTCGCCTCCTCAACACCTACTTTAAACTTCTAATTGCTGTTCTACTGTGTTGCAATTGCACGCATTGCACAGCAATCATGGGTTAAATCAGGTTGCTGTCCCCGCTCTAGCCTTTGCGGTGGATGCCGTAGTGATTCCTTGGACCCTGCTCAGTCTGGTGTATGCATTCCTTTCAGTAAAGCTTTTCCCTTGACTGCTTCAAACGATAGAGGGGGAATGGACTCCATTGATCCATATTGTCCCAAATTGGCTCTTTAGAACTTAGTATAAAGGCTTGCCTCTTACAAACAGACCAGGCCTCTTGTCACAAGGCCCTTTATTCCACACTGCTTTTCAGTTGCTTCCTTTAATGGTATGGCTGTTGAAACCCAGGTCCTACAGGATAGAGGCATTACTGACTCTGTCCTTCCTACTTGCTCAAAGTGAGAAAATCTACTTCTTGTAAGATCCTCAAATTGCACTTTGAAGGCCTATTTTAACTGGTGCAAAAGCAAAATATTCCCCACATACTGGCCATCCTTCAACCTGGTCTAGACCAGGTTTCTGTGCTGTCCATTCTTGAATTGGAGAATTTCACTAGTAAAGTGGCCTTTTTGATGACCATTACCTCCGTCAGGCATGTCTCTAAATTGGCTTATCATCAAGCATCCATTTCACAGGTATGCAAACTGCAACCTTTTCTTCTGCTGATACCCTCTTAAAGTTTTCCTGGGTGGACCTCCAGACTGATGCTGATGTTAACTTTGGCCGTAAGGTGCTTCAAGCTGTCATCTGAGAGTTTCTGGTCTAATGACCCTTGTTTGCCTGTGGACAGGTTTCCATTGTTCTCTATATTGTTTTGTTTCTGACCCCTTAGTGCAGTGTTTGTCAACCTTTTTACCTTGGAACCCTTGACAAAAAGTTTGAGATCTCGAGGAACCCCTGAAATAATGTTCAGATCTACAGCTCATGGAACATTGGTGTGATCAGTCAGCTGTTGATAGAACAATTATTTTTAGAAATAGCATTAAATAATAGAATCAATGTTAAAACATACATGTTTATTGTAAAACCTCTGCTTGCTTTTTTTCTGCACGGATGCTCAACTCTGGGTCAAATTTGAGATAAGAAATGTTCAGGGGGGCAGCAGGACAAAATCACAGGTGGTTAGGAGGGCACACTAGAATGAGGGGGGCAGGGTACATTACATGGGAGCACATTATGGGGTACTCAGAATGGCAAATTGCATAGGATTAGGGCACCTGGGATCAGAACACCTTACATGAAATCAGGGCATCTTACATGTGATCAGGGCACATGGGATTAGAGCATCTTACATGGGATTAGAGCACTTTACATGGGATCAGAGCACCATACATGGGATCAGGGCACATAGGATGAAAGCAATTTACATGGGACCAGAGCACATGGAATCAGAGGACCTTACATGGGATAATGAAACATGGGTTAAGAGCACCTTACATGGAATTGTGGCACATGGGATCAGAGGATCTTAAATGGGATCAGGGCACATAGGATCAGAGCACCTTACATGGGATCAGGGCACATGGGATTAGAGCACCTTACATGGGATCAGCACATCTTGCATAGGATCAAAGCACCTTACCTGGGATCTGGGCACATAGGATCAGAGCATTGTTTATGGGAGTACCTTACGTGGGATCAGAGCATCTTACACGGGATCAGAAGAGATGGGATCAGAGCACCTTAAATGGGATCAGAGCACATGGGGTCAGGGTACATGGGAACAGGGCACATGAGATCAGAGCACAAGGGATCAGAGCACCTTCATGGGATCAGGACAAATATCAAGGCAGTGATCTCCTTCATTTGCATAGTTAAGCAGGGAAGTGTCTGTGTCGAGTCCTCTTCTGTCTTGCAGTTCCCTGCCAACCCCTCCTCCAATCCTCCCTTTCTTTCCAACCCGGTTGATTTCACATTTTCTGGGGGGGCATTCATCAAAACTTTTTCCATTGCTAAAATCATTTGAGCGTAGTGGCATATAACCCATGGACTCTGACTACAGATCCTGTGCCCTTTACTGCACACCACAATGTGTAATTTACAGGAAAGTTAAAATTACCATTTTTTGGTACAGGTTTGGTACTTTATTGTATGAGATTTGTATAATGTGCCCTTAAGGTCTGCTCTGCAAAAACATGCTTTGAAAATTAGAGCAACTTATTTTTGCCCTAAACTAAGATTCTTGACTTTTTAAAACACGTTCCCCAGTAAAAAATGGTTTTTTTAAAGCAGTGAAATTATGATCTGGAAGAGAAAACAAAGTAAAAGTGTTAAATATGGTATATAATGTTAAAAAAAGCCATTTGGCATTTTCAGGAAGTTATATGCAAGTGGAGATACGCAAAAATCCAGAATGTAGTCCTCAGAAGGCAGTTCTTGTTTTTAAAGTGGCAGGAAATTTAATAAATGCAAAATCCACTGAGAGGCAGGACTTTTATAACAGAAGAGACCCTAAAGATCTCTTCTGTCATAAACCTACCCCCGCCTGTCAGCTACTAATGTGATCTGAGCCGCACATGCACAGCTCAAACAACATTTACACTCTGCATGCCGTGGCGATGTGTCTCCATGCGCATGCGCAGAAGTGATGTCATTCAAGCAGCCGAATATTCCAAACCTGAAAGGAAGACCAGGTGAAGATGGAAGTGCTGGGGAGCCATGACAGCGCAGCTCTGGATGCCTCCGTTTGTAGGTACGTTTGTCATAATGTACTAGTACGCAGTGCATACTAGTATATTATGACTTAAACCTGCACGGGGATACCTCTTTTTCGTTTACTACAAGATTTTTACTACCACTTTAAATAGGAGGGGAGTATACTGTTTTTATAAATATGAGTCAAGGGCCATACAAGAGGTTTCGCTTCCAGGAAAGCAAGTTAAGAAGATGGTTAGCATGAGGCTGAAATTGCCTTTGTTCCTGTATTTAATTGTCCTTCTTGCTCTCTTCAGCGGCATGCAACATTGTAAGTTTTCAAGATGCCCTCCTGCATAGGAGCAGTGTGTATACATTGTCACCAGTATGGAAGGTGAGGGAAAATTATCAAATTTATGAAATACGGAATACAGGAGAAACCTTCTATTAGGGACAAAAGCCTGGTGCACATGGTAAGTATTTTTGGGGCTGAATGAAAAAAAAAAAACTGAGGAGCTCGCAAGGAGGTCTCTGTACTAATGATGCGATTTTAGTACAGCAATCTCCCCTCACATAACACATTTTGGCTTTAGATAAACAATATTTTAATTGATAGAATAGAATGGAAAATTAGGTAAAGTGAAAAGAATCAGTTTTATAGAGATTTAAATTCAAAGAGTTATGCTAAGAAGAAAATTACAAAAATGACACCTGAACTGACCTATTATATATCTGTTTATATCTGAACAGGCAATCCTGCATCAGGAAGGTCATATGGACGATGGCGTTACCTTACAGAAGTGTCAGCATGAAGAGTCCCAGGCTGCTAGAATCATTCGTAACACCACAGGCCTGTTTAGTCAGTTTATTAGGTATGAGTCAACTAGCTGGGTTTAAACCCAGCTTTGTCCTTATTTTCTTGTATCATCTTAAAGGGGAAGTACATTTTTCAGCCTCACAAGAGGTTTTGTCATAATGTACAAGTATGCACAGCAAATTTGCACATCATGGCACGCTCATCTTGTAAAGTGCCCATTTCCAATGCTGTTGCATAAGTGGAGTTTGAATGATTGCTTGCTCCTCTGATGATAAAGGTGAATAGTAACAGCTGTGCATCTCTTATCAATGTCCTGGGCGTTTTTTATTCAGGCTTCATGAGGTACATAAAAGCTTACACCTATAGCAAGGACATTTTTCAACTTTGGTCAAAGTTGAACAGCTTGTTTTTATCTACATAACTCCCTTATCTGCATAGGCAGTTTTTTGGTAAAGGTGAGCTATGCATTTAAGTACGTGCGGTAAAAAAAAAAAGCCGTTGATACCAGAAATGCAAATATACTTTATTTCTCAGTTCAGTTTTATTTATTGATAAAAAACAGTGCTTTCCATAAACACTATTACTACGTGCCAAACGTATTGGGACACCCCTCCAAATCATTCCATTTCTATGTTCCAATCCCCTCCATGGCCACAGGTGTATAAAATCAAGCACCTAGGCATGCAGACTGCTTCTACAAACATTGGTGAAAGAATGGGTCGCTCTCAGGAGCTCAGGGAATTCAAGCGTGGTACTGTGATAGGTTGCCACCTGTGCAATAAGTCCATCCTTTAAATTTCCTTGCTACTAAATATTCCACGGTCAACTGTTAGTGATATTATAACAAAGTGGAAGCAACTGGGAACAACAGTAATTCAGCCAGGAAGTGGGAGACCACGTAGTGGTGTAAAGCACACTGCCACTGGACTGTAGAGTAGCGGAGATGTTTTCTCTGGAGTGATGAATCATGCTTCTCTGTCTGGCAGTCCGATAGACATGTCTGGGTTTGGCAATTGCCAGGAGAACAGTACTTGCCTGACTGCATTGTGCCAAGTGTTAAGTTTGGTGGAGGGGAGATTATGGTGTGGGGTTGTTTTTCAGGGGCTGGGCTTAGCCCCTTTGTTCCAGTGAAGGGAATTGTTAAGGCTTCAGCATACCAGAACATTTTTGACAATTTCATGCTCCCATATTTGTAGAAACAGTTTGGGGATGGCCCCTTGCTATTCTTCTATGACTGTGCACCTGTGCACAAAACATGGTCCATAAAGACATGGATGAGGGAGTTTGGGGTGGAGGAACTTGACTGGCCTGCATAGAGTCCTGACCCCAACCCAATAGAACACCTTTGGGATGAATTTGAGCAGAGCCAGGCGTTCTCATCCGACATCAGTGCCTGACCTCACAAATGCGCTTCTGGAAGAATGGTCAAATGTTCCCATAAACACACTTCTAAACCTTGTGGACAGCCATCCCAGAACAGTTGAAGCTGTTATTGTAGCAATTGTGCATACAGAGATGGACGCGGTCACCCATCTTGCTAAGCATCCTCCATCTTATATCCCGTCTACTCCCAAATCAGCTTCCCTCCGAATCCCCCCTCCCTCTCTGTTGAGTGACTCGTGGTCCCTGGATGCTCAGTTCAAAAGGCATCAAGGTCCAGTGGGAGAGCTCATGGTTATAAACCCCAATTAGCCTGGCCTCCGTATGTCTGCGAAACTCTTGCTTGGAAAAGGATTGTAAAGCCATAAACCAAGTCCTTCACTGAGCTTTAAAGACATTCCAGATAAGCCGTAAAACAGACATCACATTCAAAATCCATTTTCCCCTATGATTTCATATTTTGGAATATGAAAGACTCACAAGGAGACCAGGCATATATTCAGATCAGTCACTTTAATACAAGTCGGCTGATATATTACACCCCCTAGCTGACATCTACAGGAGAGAAGAAAATGATATCTCCTTAACCGTCTCAAGCAGGTATGTCTTATTTCATATCTAGACGTTCAGCAGAAGCTTCTGCATATTAATATACTAGCGGCAAGGTTGCTACATGCACCGAGGGTAAGTTATGGGTCATGATATAAGCTGGGAGGGATTTTGGTTCTAGCTGGGGTCTCCGCCCCCCAACACCCTCCCCAAATGAGGCAATTGGTTCTCTGCTTCAAGGAAACACCCTGCTGAGTTCCTAGAAAAGCTGTTATGCTTGGAGCAGAAAGCTAAGCTGAGTTGAGTTGAAGTTGAAGAAGCTCCCTTTTAACATCGGAACTAACTTTGGGAGATAAGGCCCTTTTGCTCAGAAAACTTGATCTGCTTAACCCAGGACTTTGGCAAGTACTTTATCTCTCTGAACTTCTTTCTGTTATCTCTTTGCTGTGTTATTGCTCTCTGTATATTTATATATATATATATATTGGCTACATCTTTTTCTGTAAATATTTTTATTGCACCCTTTTGACCTTTTAGTAATAAATCTTACTTTCTGAAAGTGTTGAATTGTTTCTAAAGCTCTTTAATGCAAACTAAGAACCCCTGTCTCTGAAGAGCGCTACTGTGTGTTTTAAATGTCTGCATACATCTGTCTGCGGTGACATTGTGTATACAAACAATTATTCAAACATCATAGTGTTATTGCTGATGTTGCCAAGTTTCCTCTTTCTCTGTGCAAAAAGGAGGTGGTGGCAGTGTGAAGGGTTAATTGCGTAATTAACCTGACCCAGTAACAATTGCTCCCAGGCTGCAGGTACACAGATTGTGGTCCATTAGCTGGAAAATCTTTGTGCAGGGTGCAGCTGGGTGTGGCAATGTTACGCACGTGACAGCGCAGTTTTAGATTGGCTAGTCCTTCGGTCACGAGTTTGGTGAGAAGGGCTGGGGTCTGACGCCGCGACCGTCACAGTTATAGCTCTGAAGGGTGGGCCAACTCAATATTGAACCCTATGGACTAAGGCTAGAATGCCATCAACCTTCTTGTCCATGTAAAGACAGCTGTCCCAATTCTTTTGCCAATATAGTGTAGATGACTGATATAATTTATTATGCACATATGAATATTGTTAAAAAGCATGTGTGCTTGGTATCAGGTACATAAGCTGTAATCTTCAAGGTCTTAGCAAGTTCCCAATTGTAATAAAAGAAAGAAAGGGAACAAAAAGGAGGGAAGTGTTTATAATGCAGGCAGTGCTGTGTGCCGAATAAAAGTGAATTCAAATTTTGTACATGCTGTTCACTAGTGTATGAGAGAAGAAGATATCAAATACAATGTTAGAGGTAAAGAGTAAGGCAAACCCATGTATGGTAAAGGATACGTTTCTTTTGAAGGGAAGGTTACTAAAGTAATTATTTAAAATAGCAGTAAAGCATACTGAATTCAGTACAGCTCATATTAGGTGAATATAGGGAAACATAGCAATAGAGGGTATATTTAGGAACAACAGGGTAATAACCCTGCTCCCCCCATCCTGGCCAGGCAAAAAAAGCAACTCAATATAACCAAACAGGAAAATAGCTAAATTATCTCTGTTACTGACAGCCTGGTCTATGCAGCCACTCCTCTGCTGATGCTGCAGACCAGGGCTACACATGGTAGCTCTCTAAGGTCTAGGGAAATAGACCTTGCTCAACTACACCCACAATTTAAAAGGTTATTTATAAAACCATTCTACTATTGTCGTCAATATTGAAGCCAGATATTAGATCGATGCATCTGAAACACCTGCTCCTCCTCTACATTTAGGATGGGATAGTAGCTTAAAATGTATTCTGAGGGGGCAAGTACCCCAGATAAAACTTTAGAAAAATTTGGTGCAGCTTTATATGGAATGTCATAGGACATACGGTATAATTAGGAACAACAGGGCAATAACCCTGCTTCCCCACCCTGGCCAGGCAACAAAAGCAACTCAATATGACCAGAAAGAGCAAAGATATTTAAATTCTTGAAAGGTCCAAATAATATTCAAGCTGACGAAGTATTTGTATAACATTCTTGTTTATCATGTGCTTCAGGAGTCAAGCTCTTCATTTGCATAGTGGAATCTAGTTCTGTGATCCATTCAACTAAAGATGGTATATGTTCTGTTCACCAATGGCATTCAGAAATGCCATACACTCTGACACACTAAGGCTAAATAAGGATTTATTTGGGAAAATCAGGAGATGCAGCAGAGTGGGCAGCGACTGCAGGAGTGGGAACATGCTACTTGCTCCACCCTAAAAACGGGTGGAACATATAACGTCCCCAAAGGTGAACTCACCTTTTAATTATTTTTCTTGCTTCTTGAGAAAAAAAAAGACAAAAAAACCCAACAACAACAAAAACATATTGTATTCGAAATTGGGGTAAGGAATGTGTTCAAGCTTCTACTTCATAGAAGTAGAGTCAGGTTTTGAATATGGAGTACCCTCAGTTCTCTTAATTCACAGCAGATTTTGAAAAGACATGTCTTATACTGATAATCTATATACAAACCAACTTTGTAGTTGCTTAAAGAACATCATCAAATATATTTATTTTTTTATTTTTGTAGCAATTTGGATTCTTTAACGGGGAATAATCGGACAGTAACAACCCCCGTCGCCCTGCCTATTGAGGAGGTAGTTCAAACCCTGCAAGACTTGATTACTTATTTTCAGCCTCCAGAGGAAGATCTAGAACATGAAGATAAACAGAATAAACTCCGTTCACTAAAGAACAGGCAGAACCTTTTCAAAGAGGAGGTAATATAAAAAGTACCATTACTGAAAGCAGTACTGAAATCTTGAATATGGGTAGTTTTGTCATGTTCCAGTTTGTACTTTATTGTGATCATTCATATTTTAGGGCATGCCTTAGTGCCTAGATAAATTAAATCCACTGTGCAAGCGTGGGAATTGCGTCTTCCTGGGCCAGCCACTCAACATGGCCGAAGACGCCGAACCCACATGCTTGCAAACGTTGCACTGCTGGAGGAGAGGTGAATATGCAGGAACTTAGTTCTGCTTTTTTTGTCTCTTTTTATGTTCTATTCACTTTATTTAATTTTTATTTGAACCAAATCTTTTTTTTCTTTCTTTCCTTTTCATATCTTTCTTCTATGCACATCATCATTGTGCTATGACTATATTTATTATTATTAATTTCTGCATGATTTCCCTTAAAGTGATTGTAAACCGTTCTTCTTTCAATTAAAATAATAAACAAGGGCATTGCACAGAGAGGCCCCTTACCTCCTCTTCTAGTGTCCCTTACCGGCGCTCTCACCTCCTCCTTTTCCGCATGGCCAGCATTGCAAGCCGCCTATTATGGGGGAACACATGCAGAGGTGCTCCTGAGTCAGGCTGCATGCATGCATGCATAGACACACAGTTCAGCTCCGCCCCATTCCCCAATTCCTTCCCACAGAATTTGACTGACAGCAACAGGAGCCAATGGCTCCCGCTTTTCTCAGCAAAGTGTGAGAGCAGGGAGAGAAGACCTGCAGCCGGGCAAGAGCGCAAGATCAATGGAGGGGTCAGGTAAGTGTTAGCGAAGGGGAGGGGGAGCAGACAGTGGAAAGTTTTTCCCTAATGCAGAGAATGCATTAAAGTAAAAAAACCTTTAGAGTTTAGAACCACTTTAAAGTAGAATTCGTTAGTGAGTGGCAGAGGAGGGAGCACTGGGAATTCTGTGAGCCTTGATGTGATTCATAAGCTCCCATGTCCGAGCCGTTGGGGGCACTCCCTCCTCTCCCCTGCAGCCACCGCTTACTGGCACAGGGGAGCAAGAGCTGCGGATTGTGTGACTGGAGATTGGACTACAAATACACTATGCACATATACAAATATTTGCACAGGTTAGGCAGCATAGGTAGCGGAGGTGGGGGTGGAGGGCTATTTTTAAGACTACTTAGGCCAGTGTTAGGCTTAAATTCTACTTTACAACTTGCATAATCAGGAAATATGATAAAGAATGTGATAATATACAAGAACAAGGGGCTCTTTGTCACCCACTTAAAATTTTGCTATGCTAGACTTGGGCATATGGGACCTTTTCATAAATCTAGACATGAACATTGCTCGAGGCTAAGCCTTGGTCATATTTAGCTTATATGGTTCTTGGTGCATTTCTTTCTTGCGAGTTAAATAATGTCCTCTGTGAAGCCAGAATTATCCAGCCAGAAAGCAGATCAGATTTAAAACATGTTATCCAGAAAATCCATGGAGAGCCCAGCCAGGACTAGCTATAGAATGTAAAGATGTGTAGAACTGTCCCTAGCATCCCTGTTTGACACATGTGTGTACATTAATTCCAAATAAATTACAATATGGTAGATTAGCTTTTACACTGATTAAAAAGTAAGATATTGTTCCAAAATGAAAACAAGCTACTGAGATTGCTAAATATAACCAACCTTTTAAATGCTTTCCATGTTATGGAGGATCAGCCATGTATCATGTCATAGGAGCAAAGCATGTCTCTTAATAGTACAGTATAGGACACAGGCAGAATATTCATACAACATGGGTTATAGGCATGTACCTTCAGTTGATCAGACACTGGCGAAGCTTTAGAGGATGTGCCTCCTGGGTGCATCCCCTATAACCCTACCCCACTCTGTGAGTCCTCGGTTTTGTGCTAATGTCTGTGGGTGAGGGACATTTTCTCCTTCAGGCAAACTCGCCCATGGCTTAACTAATTTATTATCTTTCTTTATTATTTTATCTTTTGTTTCTTCTGTTAAGCCCTCACTGCCTTCTAATGCCAACAGAGAAGCAGTGTATCTGAATTGGCACAACCTCCGTAAAACCTTGGGAGCTGTACCCTGCACTCTGGGGATGGTCTGGATCCTTGATGGGCGCTCATCTTGCCACTCGGTGAAACATATTGAGTTAGCAGAAGGGTGATATACAGGATCTTGTTCCTTCATCTTTGAACCCAGTCATCAAAGAACCCTTTCGGAGAAGCCTGGACTTTATGGGCCTTGTTTGAAATTTCTGACAGTGTAAAACGTGCTGAAGCTAAAATTGAACCAGGTAGAGCTCAGTCTCAGGTGGATGACCAGGTGTTACATTACATCACTGGATATATACTTTAACTCAACTTCCACTTGGAACAATTACAAGGTCCCAGTCTTCCGCTATGAGGATTCATTACAGGACAGTGAAGACCTGGGTTATTGTGTGTTCCAGATATGCTTACCGTGTACTCCACACCCTATGCCATGAGTACCCCAAAAGGAAATACCCTCACTTGTAGCTATGGTAGAAACAAGGCATAAGAAAGCCATTGCAGAATTGCAGGTGAACATTCAGCCTACCAAAAGCATGCGCAACACTCAGCATCAGATCTATTACCAGTCTCAGCATCCAGTTATAGATCTACTTTTGGCACAAAACAAGCAACCTTTTTGACTAAAGCAGAATTATCTGCTTCTATGTCACATGTCCTTGGACATATTACTGCCTTAATACAACTATATTCGCCCAGGGCTCAAACACACCATACCTCTTCTACTCCCATTTTTTCAGTCGGAGTTGGATCCTGATATGCCAGTCCTTGAGGACACAGACTGAAAAATTTGTATCAAGCTGCAAAAGATTTTTCTGTCCCAAATTGTCACTATATTGAAGAGGGAGCTTCATGCAACGTGCTTGATAATGTTGAAAAGCTCATTACCACAGCAGCCTTGACATTGTGCAAGCTGACTGTTCCCCATCTTATCATGCCCCTCTGGGTACATTCTTTGTTCATGAACAGATAGAATGTGCAGTCTGTAAGACTGGGTGACTCCTTAAACATTTTCACTCCTAAAATGTTTACTGAACTCTATCAAGTTAAAATTGAGTTCCCAAAAAAGTGGGCTATTCCTGTAATTGATCCTGCCATCTCTGTCCTAAGGAAACATTTCACTGTAATATATATAACATATTTCCCAGCACAGCTACCAAACACCACCAATAACTTGTTTGTAGAGCTAGCGAACACCAAAAATCATATCATGTATGCCTCAAGACTAATTTAAATAATAAATAAGTGTATTGATCCACACAGTGATTACATTAAAATGTGAATATAGATGCACAAAAAAATTACTGATGAATCTCTCAACTAAAAACATTTACACAAAACAAATCACTATAACCTTCGTGATCCAAAATTAGTGGAAAAAAAACCCCACTTTAAATGGCACTCCACACAAAACTTGTCACTCATGTGCTCCAATACTATGTGATTATAAGCTCTTAAATGTTAATTAAAGTGTCCACAGAAATCAAGGCATTCGTAAATGCTAATATAACGTGCTCTCCATTGATTGTAACCTTTGATCACTACACATGTGCAAAAAAAAAAAATCAGGATTTGAGATATATATATATGAGATCATTAAAACACTTGCCATCATATAGATACTATAGCCAGGCCCTCTGCCACACTCTCCTTGTGAAATGCTAGCTGATGCACAAAATCCTCAATTTAGGGAGACATCTCCTTGCTTGATGATGCAACCTTCACATACAGCAATTCCTGAAAAAGGGGACATCTAATTCTCTCCGTATAATGAACTTTTAAAAGCTTGTGTAGCACTACCCTTGTAAAAGGTGCTGAGTTTGCTTTGCATCCCCCAGGCAACATGCATTTTGCACACTTGTACTTTTCAGAGTTAGTAAAACAGTCCTTGAGCTGGTGTTTTGGTTTTTAGTTGGTTTTATTAAGGGTTAACTATTTGGATGGGGTTTAGGGGCATATAGGATGCCCAAGGAACTGTAGAACTTGAGGATGGACCTCTTAGCAACTATGTACAAAAAAGGTAGACTAGCAAAAATATAGCACTGTCCCTTTTTGGTGGACCTCCTCAAATCCGGAATGAATCCTCCTCTTCACCCAGCTTTTCTGAGGGTATCCCTGAGCATGGGGTTTCTTAAGAGCTTGTAGTTAAGCAGTTCTGGGTGAAGACTAGTTGGATATTTCACCTGACCGCCCTCTTCCCTTATCTGGCCCAAGGGGTGTGGGAGTATTCGCACTGTCCAGTCCTGTCAGTGTGGTAGGTTGGTAGCTGCCTTCAGGCTTTACATTGGGCTGGCTCCTTCCTGACTAACAGGCTGTCCTCCCTAGGAGATGTTGAGGCAGTAGAGATCCTCCTGCCCAGCACCCTGCCTGTAGGTAGGCTTCCCTCCCAGGCTCCGCACTCCAGCCTTCTCTCAATCCATCTTCCACCCGACTACCCTGCTCCCCAGGCTCTGTGATATTTGAGGGTTGCCCTGATCATCATGCCCAGCCTCCTGCCAGGGGATTGACCAAGGTCCCTCAAACATGCAGATCTGGTCTTCCTCCCCTCCTCCACCCCTCTTCTAGAGAGTTCTGCCAGCCTGTCCTGAGGTGAACTCCTGCCTCACTCCCAGGCTGCTACTCAGCCTCTATCTAAAAGACAACAAACCTAGCTAACCCAAAGGGCGTTACACTTATAATCACGTATTATTGGAGCACTTTGTGACACGTTTTGGGTGGAATGCTATTTAAAAGTGTTTTTTTTCCCACTCATTTTGGGTCAGGAATGTTGTAGAGGTTTATTTGATGTAAATGTTTTTTAGTTGAGAAATTTATTAGTGATTTTTTGGTGCCTATACTATATATTCACATTTTTGATTTTATCACAGGAAGTGGACCGCTACACTTGCTTTTTATATAACCTTCTCACTGTAGCTATTGAAGATGTTCCTTTGTTCAAAGGACTGAGATATGCAAGGACTGAGATATTTTT